AATTAAGTGGCTCTCTTAATTAGATTATGTTCCACACAAATGACTGATTTCAGAATAATGCCACAGTTAGGTATTTTTGTTCTCGTTTAATTCTTTTAAGTGAGACCCTGTTCAAAAAGTGTATATGAAAGAATTCAGACTTGAATTCAAGGTCTAAGTTTATCACTACATGGTATTATGGATACTGGGTGGTTTTTCTTGAGTTTTCCTTTCTGAGAAGCAAGTCTGTTTACCAGCTACAAAATAGCAGAACCTGTAATTCATGGCCAGCCTGGCAGCACTATCTTACTGCAGCATCCTTTGGAGCACTAAAGTTGCTGTTAATGACAAAGAGAAAGGATGGAGAAGAAATTCTGGATATGACGAAATGTCGAGAGGGGTTTAGGAGACTAGTGAATGTAAAAGGTAGGGACATTGATGGCATCCGTGTCATGATGGCCCCTGTACCTCAAGACAACAAGATCTTCATGTCATAAGGGATGCAATACATTGTGTCATGTTATGTAACAAGTGTGTCAGGTTGTCCAGAATGGCATCTCAAAGAACTGTTGTATTTACTCCTAACCACAGAACAGTCCTGGAACAGGATTATCATTCTCAAATGTAACCGTTTCAGCAAGATGGCACAATCCATGTGTTTTACCTGTTCCCTGTTACATTTTGGTAACCAGGTTTTCTCCTGTCGTGGAATACTCTATCACAAGATTTCTGACCACAGCCGCAGGTTTTTTTTTTTTCTCCCAGCTTTTGGTAACAAGTTTCAAAATCAACCAAGTATGTTTTCCCATCTGTAGTCTAATAGCCAAACAAACCATAAGAATCATGTCCCTAAAGAGTGTCTACATGGCCTATTTTGCTACTCAATTCACGTTCAATAATTCACTGAGTTCATTATCCCAGGCATGGCTAGTTCATACATCAATTTATGCAGATAGGCTGGAAGCCATGCCTAATTTATGCCAGGTATGTTTATACCAGGTATGGCTTCTAGCCTATCTGCATAAATTGGACTCTTTATTACTTTTTGAGACATAGTTTATCACATATCATAATGTAATTATTATAACCATTCCATGGATGCTTGAAAATAATGCATAGTATGTAATTGTTGGGTTTAGAGTTGTGTACTCATTAAATCAAGTATTTTTATTATGTTGTTCGAAACTGCTAAATTCTTATTAAATTATTGGCTGTTTGATCTGTCAATTGCTGATAGACATGTTAAAAAAATCTTTTAATGAGTTTGGTTATTTCTGCTTCTATTTTTTTTTCAATTTTTGCTTTTTGTATTTTGAAGCTGTATTACTACAAGGTGTGTGGGACAGGACTCAATCTGGGAAGGCATCCTGAGGTCACTGTTGCACTTCCTCTTTACTGTAGAACATATCCTGTTAACATGATTATTAGAGACGTTCTCTTTGACATCCTGCTTTCACATTAAGCAGATTTATAGGAGGATATTGAGTGATCTGTAATTATCATGAACCACACCTGTCACAATGAATACTTTTATTATCCAGATTTTATATTTTTATAGCAAGCTAACTTACATGATTTCTCACTGTAGCCCTATTTTTCCTCCCAACTTTTAATGACCAGTTTTAAGATTCTTCAAGTTGCCTTTCTCATATAGTCTGACAGCCACCAAGACCATGTAATTCATTTTCTTAGGTACTATACACATTTAACCACCTGCAAATAGCAGTACTCATCTAACTACCTTGCTATGACAAACTCATATTTGGTAACTCACTACCTTCCTCTACCCTGTCTCCTACCTATTGTAACTTTCACCTTCTCCACACTCTTGGGATACCTGGTGTTACATATACCTTAGCATTCTAGTCAGGACTGGTGATAACTTTTGGTTCCACCCATGGCATATTATCATTACCTGTCTAGGAAGCTAAAGAACAACTCACTGTAGCCTTTCCAAAAAATACAGGTAATCATTCCAGTGGATTTCCATCCCCAGTTTTCTTACCCAACACCAAAAGATCTTTTCTTGATATAGTTCTTAAAGTTCACCAATCCTCCTTTTTTATTTCCTGCCTTTTGTTCTTGACTGATTCCTCTCTCCTTTGTTTTAACAGCCAACTATTTTAAGTCTATTCGAAATAAGGTAAAGGCAAACACATATTCTGATAACTATGCTTAGGCCGGTTTCCTTGCCTGGCAATATGGAAAGCTCCAGGAGACAGTTTTATCTCCTGCTGTTTTGTGATACAGAAGCAGTTGGCTTTTCCAATATTAGGATGAGTCAATTCCTGGTCTCTACAAGTAACTAAGTCTGAGTAGTTGAGTAGTGAGTTTTTATCTTACTTTATAGTTATGTATGTATGTATGTATGTATTTGAGATGGAGTCTCAAGCTGTCACCCAGGGTAGAGGGCAGTAGCACAATCATGGCTCACTGTAGCCTTGGCCTCTTGGCCTCAAGCAACCCTCCTACCTCAGCCTTCCCAAGTAGCTGAGACTACAAGCATGTGCCAACACTTCAGGCTAATTTTTAATTTTTTTTTTTTTTTTTTGTAGAAATGGAGTTTCATCATGTTACTCAGACTTGTCTCAAACTTCTGGAGTCAAGTAATCTGCCTGCCTCAGCTTCCCAAACTGCTGAGGTTACTGGATTGAGCCACTGCATTCAGCCTAGTTACCTTATTTAAAATGGTTAAAAATAATCCTAAAAAAAACTATTCACCTATTACACATTTTAATGGGTTTTTAAATTTAAAGGCAGGCTGGGCATGGTGGCTCACACCTGTAATCCCGGAACTTTGGAAGGCTGAAGTGGGTGGATTATTTGAGGTCAAGTGTTCAAGACCAGACTGGCCAACATGGTAAAACCCTATCTCTACTAAAAATAAAAAAATTAGCCAAGTGTACTGGCACACATCTGTAATCCCAGCTACCCAGGAGGCTGAGGCAGGAGACTCACTTGAACTTGGGAGGTGGAGGTTGCAGAGAGCAGAGATCCTGCCACTACACTCCAGCCTGGCGGACAAAGTGAGACTGTCTCAAAAATAAATAAAGTTAAAGGCAGTGAATTTCCTCAAAATATTAGATAAAGCAAATTACTCAAATGCTTCCTCAAGTAAAATACCTGTTGGGTCTCTTGGATTTATTCATGTTTATTTATTATGCACCAATTTGGCCATAGGCTTGAGTCTATACATCTATATTACTCTACTGACCTCCTGGTAAGGCCTGTGCATTTACTAACTTTCAGCATACATGTGGATGATTCGTCTTACATTCAGACCTCTACGTTACATGGAGACTGCTACCCTTGAAAAATCATGTCCTCTAGCTTTAGCTGTTCCCTGAAAACTTCCCCTCATCTCCCTGTTTGATTGGTTCTTCCACTCCTCTGAGTTGCTATTCGGAGCAAGCAACTTGTTCCAGACAAGACTTTAACATATTCCCTCTTGCTCTGAGCTGCCCTCTTATACTTTATAGAGAAAACAGAAGGTGTCTGGAAGGAACACCACAATCTCCCACTTCTGCTATCTCTCCTCATTCATGAAGTTTCTCTGGAGATAGCTCTAGCTCATCCTCCAGGACCATATTTTGCATAAGGCCAATTACTCAGTACTGTTAAGTTTCTCTAAACTGAAAATAATTTTTAAGGTCCCTGGGTTTCCTAAAAAAATAAAAATAAGACCCTTTAACCATGTGATTAATTATATGATTCAGTGATCCCACTTCTAGGTAAATATACAAAAAAAATGAAAACAAGGTTTCACAGTGATATTTGTACACTCATGTTCATAGCAGCATTATTCACAATAGCCAAAAGGTGAAAGCAACCCAAGTGTTTATGGATGGATAAATGGATAAGTAAGATGTGGTATTTATATACAATGGATTTTTTTTTTTTTTTTTTTTTTTTTTTATTTAGAGTCTTACTCTGTTGCCCAGGCTGGAGTATAGTGGCATGATCTCAGCTCACTGCAACTTTTGCTTCCTGAGTTCAAGCAACTATCTTGCCTTAGCCTCCCAAGTAGCTGGGACTGCAGGCACCTGCCACCATGCCCAGCTAATTTTTTTGTATTTTTAATACAGACAGGATTTCACCATGTTGGCCAGGCTGGTTTTGAACTCCTGACCTCAAGTGATCCACCCACCTTGGCCTCCCAAAGTGTTAGCATTACAGGCATGAGCCACCGTGCCTGGCCACAATACAATATTATTCAGCTTTAAAAGGTAGAAAATCCTGTCATATGCTACAATGTGGATGAAACTTGAGGACGTTATCCAGTCCCCAAAGGAAAAATACTGTATGACTCCAGTTATTATGTTATAATCTAACATAGTTAAATTCACAGAAACAGAAAACAGAATGGTGGCTACCAGGGGCCAAAAGGAGAGGAAAGTGGAGAATCGTTCTTCAATGCATATAGAGTTTCAATTTTGCAAGATGAAAAGGTTCTGGAGATCACACCACAATGTAAATATACTTAACACTGGCACTACCAAAGTGAACACTTAAAAATGGTTAAGATGAAAATTTTTTATATTATCTTATCTTTACCACGATTTTCTTTAAAAGTCCCTAGACCTCATGTTTCTTTCTAGCTGCACCTCTTTTGGAAGAACTTTCCATGATCATTAACATCACTTCTTTACCTCCCACTCCCTCTTGAACCCATTGCCATCTGATTTCTGCCCTTGCCAAGGTTGTCAATGACCATTTCACTTAACCTGCTCTTGCTAAGGTTGTCAACCTCCCTATATTTTTACGCTTAGTATACTCAACCCAGAGTATTGGGTTTTGTTCACCACTTATTTCTGGATGCTTTTACATCTTTTGATTTCTGTGGGACTCTGCCTTATTCTTTGACAGATAACTGACAACTTTTTTAAAAGTTTTTTTCCTGCTGCCTTTTTTCTTTCATAAATGCTTGACCTGCGACTTTGTGTGTCTTTACAGTTCTTTATAGTTTTCTTTAATTCAACCTTTTCCTGTGATCACCACCGAAATTACTGAGAAGTAATCACCTCGGATCTTTCAACCAGTCTAGCCTACGCAACAGTACGCCACTTCTACGCCTGCGCGAGGACGGTGAGGCGGGGCCTGCAACTTCCTCAGCGGGAGCGGGAGTGCACACTGGAGCCGCCGGAAGAGAACGACTCGGATCTGGCTCCGTTTTCCAATCAACTGCGCAACGAGTCAGGCTTTCTGGGTTGCAACATGGCGGCTACCAGTGGAACTGATGAACCGGTGAGACGCTGATCTGGGGTCGGGTGAGTGGGGAGGTCGAGCCAGGTGGAGCCCTTTTTTTTTTTTTTCTTTTTTGAGACAAGGTGTCACTCGCCCAGCCTGGAGTGCAGTGGCGCCTTCACGGCTCACTGCAACCCCGACCTCCGGGGCTCAGGTCATCCGCCCACTTCAGCCTCTCGAGGAGCTGGGACAACAGGCGTGTGCCACTACGCCTAGCTAATTTTTAAATTTTTTTTTTAATTTTTATTTTTTGTAGAGACGGGGTTTCGCCATGTTGCCCAGTTTCGTCTCAAACTCCTAGGCTCAGGTGGTCTACCCGCCTCGGCCTCCCAAAGTGCTAGGATTATAGGTATGAAGCACCGCTCCCGGCCTTGGGTGGAGCCTTGAACTCTTTTTCCCCCTTTCTAGGTTTCCGGGGAGTTGGTGTCTGTGGCACATGCGCTTTCCCTCCCAGCAGAGTCTTATGGCAACGATGTGAGTATGACTCACCCACAGCTCCTACCCCCTCAGTTAGCCTGGGATCTCTGCAGGACCTGCCACTAAATTATAATCCCAAGTCCTGATATCTACTACAGACCTTCTCCACTTCCACCAGAAACCGCACCTTCTTTAAGTTCGTTTTAATCTTGGTCCACAAACGCAGGACTAACGCCTGTGGAAGTGGTTCCCCAAACTGGCCACTCTTTAGAATCACCTGGGAAGCTTTTAAACATCCCGCTGCCTAGATTGCAGTTCATACCACCTAAATAAGAATGTCTGGGGAATGAGAGCCAAGAATCAGTATTTTTAAAGGGTCTTAGAGGAATTCCATTGTGCAGCAAAGTTGTACTGGCTTATGATGTCTCTGGTTTAGAAAATTACTGAGAAAGTATATGACGTATTTTCTGACACAAGACAAGGGGATGTGAGAATAGTAAAAACACCCAAATAAGAATATGATACATATAATGAGTGGGTCTGGCCATAAGATCCAAATAGTTTAGCTGAAGGAGAAATCCCTAAGGGGCCAAGGCAGTAGAAGACTAGACTGAAGAAATAGAGCTTTAACTGTACCCTCAAAGTGTAGGTGGACAAAGAACAAGGATTGGGAGGTAGGAAAAGTGCCTGGTTTAAGGCATGGAGGTAACAAATGCAAATGGCTTTTCCTGGAGTCAGTGAAATAGCTCGGAGGTCTCTGGTCTCCTTCGAGTGGGAGATTACAGTGGAACAGATGGGTGCTTGGTAGTATTTATTATACCCTTGACCTGTTTCATGTGCTAATGCATTTCTAGGTGTCATGGGGAATTGGCTGTTTGGTAAACACAAATGATTACATGCTTGAATCTTAAAAGTGAAAAGTAATTTTCATTTTGATTCTTTGTTCTTCCAACAACTCAGTGATAATGAGGGTTATATTATTTCAGTTTTACAATGATTTAACTGAATGCTGAGAAGGTGATTTATGTACTGCTTTATTTAGTCTCCCAGCGTTCACTAGCAGCTGGGAAAAGATAGCCAGTGGCTCATTGTGTTCATTATACTCTGTAGGTAGCTTCTTTTGGTTGTTGTATGGACAAAGGAATTATTGTCTAAATGTATTACTCCAGTTTTAATTATTTGACAGTAACATCAAGTGTGGTAGCCCTCTTGAGCATTAAATGGACATCCACATACTTCCTTAATTTGGTATTCAGTAGTAGGATTGGGAAGTTTATGACTTGGTATTTTTCACTCCTTTGCAGCCTGACATTGAGATGGCTTGGGCCCTGAGGGCAATGCAGCATGCTGAAGTCTATTACAAGGTGAGTTGTCTGTCTTCATCATTAAGCAGAATTAAACATGTAATTATAGTGTATGATGCTCTGCTTATCACTATTTTCAGCAAGTTAAACAGTTGTGTTTTGGAGATAGTTTTTATTAATGTAAGTTCTTACCCACAGACAACAGAGTGAAAGCAAATTTGTTTCTATGATGAGTTCTGCTGCTTTGCTCCATTTTATTATGCTAATTGACAAAAGGACGTCTGGCCCATACATTGTAGGCACTCAATAAATGTTTGTTGAATAAATGAACAATCCACAGAGGGCAATAGCCAGACAGTACTGTGGTTAAATAAGCGAATTGCCAAATTGGTGGAAGAGATTGTAATAATATATTACGGCCTTAAACTATGTCATGATTTCATCCAGGATGTAGGTTGTCTGATGACACTTCCTGAAGAGATCTTCTGCCCTGAGAACCATAAAGGTTTTCTGGTGGGGATGGGGAAGATAGTAGTAAATTACAGACTAGCACTTGTATGTTGTCTTACTGTTTGGCAGCTGATTTCATCAGTTGACCCACAATTCCTGAAACTCACCAAAGTAGATGACCAAATTTACTCTGAATTCCGGAAAAATTTTGAGAAGCTTAAGATAGATGTATTGGACCCAGAAGAACTCAAGTCAGAATCAGCCAAAGAGGTAAAAATTCTCTTTCTCAAATGTCACTTAGCATTTAACCAACAATTTTTGATTGTGAATTTTTTTTTACATTTAAACTCTTTTGTTGTTTAAGAAAAATACGTAAAGAACCAGAACTGGTTACTAGTTGTAATCAACTAAGTTAAAAAATGAATGTTTTTCCAATTTATTGACTTTTCATATTGTTGAGTCAATTTTTTTCTCCTTTCTGTCTTGGACATTTTAAATCTCCACCCAGCCCTTTCAGGAGAGGAGGAATCAGTTTTTTTAGGTAGTATAGCCGGAGGCTTGGAGGGGGAGTGGTAAATAGGGCATAGGAAGGTGTTTTGATTTTTTCATTTAAGTTCATGTGATTACGTGCCATGGATAACTAGAAAACGTATGTTTTTCATTGCTTATGTGATTATCCAATACTTTAATAGGAAACTAGCACTTCTACAGTTAGGAAAAAATGTTTTTTCTTGAGAGTAAATCCTTAGCTAATGAAGAACCTAAAGTGTGTGTGTGTGTGTGTGGGGGGGGGGGTTCTTTCTTTTCTTTTTTTTTTTTTTTTTTAAGACAGGGTCTCACTTTGTTGCCCAGAATGGAGTACAGTAGTGCCATTCAGCTCACTGCAACTTCCACCTCCCAGGCTCAAGCAGTCCTCTTGCTTCAGCCTCCCTAGTAGCTGGGACTGCCACTTTTATAATTTTATAAAAGCTTGTATAATTTTATAATTATATAATTTTTTTGTCCGTAGCATTACCTTTTATAATGCTATGGACAATAGCATACATTTATATATTAACACAAAATCAACATATTTTTTAATGATACATGGTGCATGCTACCATGCCCAGCTAATTTTTTGTATTTTTGGTACAGATGGGGTTTCACCATGTTGATCAGGCTGGTCTTAAACTCCTGAGCTCAAGCGATCCTTCTGTCTCGGCCTTCCAAAGTGCTGGGATTACAGGGATGAGCCACTGCCTCCAGCCAAGAATCTAAACTTTTAATTCCTAGGAGGCTATTAGTGATCTTTGTCTTTGGAAAATTGTCACTACTGAATGGACTTCTTTATTAAAATCATTTGTGTTTTAGTAGGTATAGATGACCATTTTGGATTGAACTGACCAATAATTTCAAAACAATCTGTTTAAGAAATCATATTTTAATTCTATAGTAAAGGATTTATATGTATTTCAGAGTAAAATATTATTCATCTTGGGAAATAGCAGTCTAAAGACACAATAGGTAGCACAGAAAAGCACTGCTAGTTTCACCATGAAACCAGCAATCACCTCAATCCTAGTCTCACTATGATTATTTTCCTTACTGGGGAACTGGAATTATCTCTCCTGTCCTCTTGCATTTGTTAGCTAAGGCATTGTTTTTGCCTTGATAGAAGTGGAGACCATTCTGCTTGAAGTTTAATGGGATTGTTGAAGACTTCAACTATGGTACTTTGCTGCGATTAGATTGTTCTCAGGGCTACACTGAAGAAAACACCATCTTTGGTGAGTTTTTTCCCTCTGGAATTGTTTATAAGGAGACTGAACAGTCTGGTTTTGCTGATGAATCAGTAACATGTATAGTTAGGTTGGAGATCACCTTATTTTGTTTCATCTTTAAAGATGTTGCTATTTTTTTAAGTAACTTGAAAATAGTTAAGTCTTTTCAGCCTCGTTAATATGAGATTGGAATTCAATACCTCTGAAGTTTATGAGTATACTCGAATGTTTTGTATGTTATTTCAGTTTTGTCAGTAGATTTCCAGCATATTTAGGAAACAGGCCAGGCACAGTGTCTCATGTCTTATAATCCCAGCACTTTGGGAGGCTGACATGGGAGGGTCACTTGAGCTGAGGAGTTTGAGACTAGCCTGGGCAACATAGGGAGACCTCATCTCTACAAAAAACATTAAAAAAATTATCCAGGTGTAGTGGTGCATGTTTGTAGTTCCAGCTACTTGGGAGACTGAGGCAGGAGGGTTGCTTGAACCCAGGAAGTTGAGGCTGCAGTAAGCTGTGATTGTGCCACTGCAGTCCAGCCCTCGGAATCAGAGTGAGACCCTGGCTCAAAAAAAAAAAAAAAAAAAAGATTTAGGGAATCAACTGAGAGTAGGATAATACTCAATTTTGTTCACTTTTCAGCCCCCAGGATACAATTCTTTGCCATTGAAATTGCTCGGAACCGGGAAGGCTATAACAAAGCTGTTTATATCAGTGTTCAGGACAAAGAAGGAGAGAAAGAAGTCAACAATGGAGGAGAAAAAACATCTGACAGTGGAGAAGAAGAGAACACCAAGAACAGAGGAGAGAAAGAAGCTGATAGTGGAGAAGAAAAAGAGGAAGGAATCAACAGAGAAGAGAAAACTGACAAAGGAGGAGAAAAAGGGGAAGAAGCTGACAAAGACATCAACAAAAGTGGTGAAAAAGCTATGTAAGGTATACAGGGAACAGCACTCTAGAAGCTATGTGTCAATTGAGCCTACAAGTAACACAGTGCTACTTGCACAGACCTCTTTGGTTAAATGTAAATTCTTGTACATTTAAGAACACTCAGAAGGACATCCTTCTAGCCTAATAGGATCTGCTCTTGTGGTTCCCTTGTATGAACTGTTCTAAAGACTATTAGTCGGGTGTTAGTTGTTTTTTTCTGGTATACAGTATTTTGGCTGTCACCACTGGTCAAGTAAGAAATTTTGTAAATAAATGTCTTTTGGTTCTTTCTTATCTGTATCTCTGACTGAGTTTAAAAAGGTATTTGACACTTGAAATTTTTTTCAAATATGTAATCTCATCACCACGTCTTATATAAAATAACTTACCCCTGTTTCTTACTGCTTCTCACCATTTCCTATAGTCAAGTTCTCTAAACTTGTTAAGTTACACCAGGTGTTGGAGTTGAAAGTCCTTACTTAAGAATTGACTCAATCTCTGAGTGACCACAACTCCCTGATTTCTTTGCTATATAGGACAAAAGATTTGATAAATCGCAGCAACCTGAACCTGTCAGATTAGTGAATGCAGCCCAGTTCATATTAGAAAAGCAAGAGACTGGACCTGCTTCAATATTTGCTTTTCTTTTGGTAGGCAGATTGTTACCTGAAAGCTAGCAAAAACAAACAAAAAAACAGTAAAGCTAGACAGAGAGGATTCCCTTTTATAATGCTATGGACAATAGGATATATTTATGTATTAACACAAAATCAACATATTTTTAAATGATACCTTGTCAGACTCTAAAAAGTAGATCACTTGATTTTATATGGTAGGGGAAGAGTATTTCTTTTTTATCTAATGGCTTTTAAGAGTGCATGCTGGCCGGGCGTGGTGGCTCAAGCCTGTAATCCCAGCACTTTGGGAGGCCGAGGCGGGTGGATCACAAGGTCAAGAGATCGAGACCATCCTGGTCAACATGGTGAAACCCCGTCTCTACTAAAAATACAAACAATTAGCTGGGCATGGTGGCGTGTGCCTGTAATCCCAGCTACTCAGGAGGCTGAGGCAGGAGAATTGCCTGAACCCAGGAGGCGGAGGTTGCGGTGAGCCGAGATCGCGCCATTGCACTCCAGCCTGGGTAACAAGAGTGAAACTCTGCCTCAAAAAAAAAAAAAGTGCATGCTTCAGTTATCTCACATGTATGTAAAAGTTTATGCATGACCTTATAGACACACTGAGCTTGACTGCTGAAACTGGTTAGAAGAAACCACAATGTTTATAGTACATACAGTAAATACAAGTCTAACCACAGAATGATAATGCAAGAAAGGATTTACCAGAGTAGAGAAGGGAAAAATGAGGCTTTTTTATTTCAGTGGACATAGGAAAAAATTAGAACTAATTGACAAGTTATGCCCTAGGCAAGAGCTGATGTATAGATGCACACATCTAGCAGCAGCAATTGTGCACAAAGCAAATAGATTTCTCCATGAATTCTCTTTGTCAAATTCTTAAAAATATTTATAACATTTGTTAGTCTTCATTTTATAAAAATGCCTTTTTTTAATGGGGCAGGAAAATGTTAAATATTTCATACTAGAAAGACTTTGTTATTAAGAACCTTTACTGTATTAACTTTTTCTAGTTCATACATTATTAAATATTTACAAAACTGCATTCATATACATTGCCTCAGGCTGAGGAAGAATAAAGATTATTGGCCACATACAATTGTGCCCCTGATGGCCTTTTTCAGGTAGCTCACCAGTAAGATAATGTGCTTAATGACTTCTCTCTGATTAATTTTAGACAATAAGAAACATGAAGTTGAAAGTCAGACTGCTTTAAAACAAGAGGCATCTGTCCAAAGACTGGTTGATGAAATCTGGGGAAAGGGAGGTAAATACACAGGACAATTTGGCTGCGCTGTAGGAGGCCAGGAATCCAAGGCAGTGTCCAAAGTTAGAGGAGAAGGAGCCGGCAGAATAGTGCTCTGGTGCCGCAGACAATTCTTAAGATGGACTTAAGGTAACCACCCCTTGGCATACATGTCCTTTATAATTTCCATGTGTTTCAGTGTGGGTAAGACTTGTGAATATGAAGAAATTTCATTCCTGTGATTAGCTTACTTATCATTTTATTTTGAGTTAATCAAAGGGGAGATTATCCTGAGTGGATCTTGCCTAATCAGGTGAGCTCTTAGACAAGTGGCCACAGCAGATGTTCTCATGTTGGCCTTGAGGAAGCAAACAGTCATGTTGTGGGAGGAGGGTACTTTGTGGCAAGAACATGAGAGTGGCTCTCTAGGAGCTGAGATTGTTCCCTGGCCGACAGCAAGAAAATAGGATTTTACTCTTAAATTGCAAGTAATTGAATTCTGCCAACAACCAGTGAGCTTGTAGAAGACCTCGAGCCTCAGATGAGATTGAGGCCATGACTTCAGCCCTGTGAGATCCTGAACAGAGGACTCAGTTAAACTATACCTGGACTCCTGACTCATAGGACTGTGAGGTAAGTGGGTGCTGTCTTAAGCCACTAATTACAGGGCTTAAGAAAAAATTAATTTGTTACAGAGCAATAGAAAACAACCACAGACTTTGGTACTTGGAGTGGAGTGCTGCTGTAACAAATACCTAAAATGTGATAGGGGGCTTTGAAATCAGGTACTGGATAGAGGCTAAAAGAATTTTGAGGAGCACGATAGAGAAAGCCCAAATTGCCTTGAACAGACTGTCAGTAGATATAAGACTTGAAGGCTTAGAAGGAAGTAAAGAACACATTGGAAAGTAGAGGAAGGGGAGATTGTAGCATTGTAATTAGAGGGCAGAAAATTTGAGATTTGAGCCCTTGATCTGAATTATTTGGAAGATGTTAAATCAGATTAACCAGTGTGCAAACAATGATTTATTCAGAATGTGGTAGCATTCCAACAATACGTCTTTCAGAGGCAGAAAAAAGATATTGACTAATTTTTACACTTGCAAAAGGGGAAACTGCAGCCATATTTAAGTTTTAAGTCACTGAATTTTTGATAATTTGTTACATCAATAACAGGAAATTAATAAAGAAGACATGCTGAGCACTACCCCAAAAGTGGAGAGATTCACTGCACTGTCAATTTTTATTTTGAAACTATAAACATAGGGATATGTTGTATCAGAGGACTGAAGACATAACCTGCACACAAAGTGAACTTTAATGATTGTAAACAATTTTTAACTTACTCTCCACAGGAAATCCTATAGCTGAGTTTATGTGTGTTGGGTGGTATTGGTATAACTGGAAGTTCTCTAAATTTACCTTTATGAACAATACAATTCTTATTAAAGAAAATGTGCTACATTTAATTTAAAGTTTATATATACATATTAGTAAAACTCAACAGTAACTTCATCAATTGTATTGAAGTTGTACCAAGAAAATATTTTTCTGGGGAAAACTGTTTTACCATTAACATTGTTTTAAAATTGCCAGAGCATGATAAAAATTTAAGCAGATGAGATTTTCGTTGGTTTTCATTGTTTTTAAACTTTGTACAGAGAATACACCTTTTTTATAGCCTGCACTCAGTGTGGACAATTCTCATTACCCAATTTTGCTACATCATTATTGTTTTCACAAATTCGTTATTCAGATAAATAGTATCATAACTGATTGTTCAAAAATAAAGGCATGTATGTATGTTATGTAAATGGTCATTTTGCCACGCCTAAATGTTTATATCTCTATAATTGTGAAAACATTATAACTGCCAACACGTTGTTGGTTTCCTGAATTACACTGTTGCCACTTGACTGTATAACTGGCTAGTTTTTGAAATGTTTTAAATTTTGGATTCAGGGGATACATGTGAAAGTTTGTTAACTGGACATATTGCATGATGCTCAAGTTTGGAGTATAGATGGTCCCATCACCCAGAGAGTGAGCATAGTACCCAACAGATAGATTTCAGCACATACCCTCCTCCTTTACTCTCCCCTTCTAGAAGTCCCCAGTGTCTTTTGTTCTCATCTGTATGTATATGTGTATTCAATGTTTAGCTCCTACTTATAAGTGAGACCATGTTGCTCCAAAGGACATGATTTCATTCTTTTTTATGGCTGTGTAGTATTTCATGGTGTCTATGTGCCACATTTTTCTTATCCCCGCAACCATTGATGGGCACCTAGGTTGACTTCACATCTTTGCTATTGTGAATAGCACTGCTATGGACATATGAATGCATATGGCTCTTGGATAGAATGATTATTTTTTTGAGACAAGAGTCTTACCCTGTTGCCCAGGCTGGAGTGCAGTGAATGATCTCAGCTCACTGCAATCTCTGCCTCCCAGGTTCAAATGATTCTCATGCCTCAGCCTCCTGAGTAGCTGAGATTATAGGCATGCACCACTACACCTAATTTTTGTATTTTTAGTAGAGATGGAGTTTCACCATGTTGGCCAGGCTGGTCTCGCACTCCTGGTCTCAAGTGATCCATTCACCTTGACCTCGCAAAGTGCTGGGATTACAGGTACGAGCCACCACACCTAGCTTAGAACAACTTATTTTCCTTTGGTATATACTCACTATTGAGATTGCTGTGCTGAATGTTAGTTCTAAATTTTTTGAGAAATCTAAGCTCCGTTCCACAATGGCTGAACTAATTTACATTCCCACCAGCAGTGTATACATGTTCCCTTTTATCCGCAGTCTTGCAAAATCTGATATATATTTTTTACTTTTTAGTTAGCCATTCTGACTGGTGTGAGATGGTATCTCATTGTGATTTTGATTTTCATTTCTCTGATGATTAATCGTGAGTATTTTTTCATGTATTTGTTGGCTGCTTGTATGTCTTAGAGAAGTGCCTGTTCATGTCTTTTGTCCACTTTTTAATGGAAGCATTTGTTTTCTGCTTGTTTAATTAAGTTCTTTGTAGATTGTAGGTATTACACCTTTGTCAGATGCAGTTTGTGAATATTTTCTTCCATCCTGTAGGTTGTCTGTTTACTCTGTCAATAGTTTCTTTTGGTGTGCAGAATATCTGTAATTAGGTCACATTTGTTATTTTTTGTTTTTGTTGCAATTGCTTTTGAGGACCTAGTCATAAATTCTTTGCCAAAGCTGATATCTAGAAGGGAATTTCCTAGATTTTCTTTTATGATTTTCATAGTAAAAGGTCTTACATTTAAATATTTAATCCAATTTGAGTTAATTTTTGTATATGGTAAAAGGAAGGGGTTATTTCATTCTTCTGCATAGGGCTAGCCAGCTATTCCAGCACCATTTATTGACTAGAAACTTTTTTCCCCAT